GTGTGTGTGTGTGTGTGTATGTGTGAGTGTGTGTGTGTGTGTGTGTGTGTGTGTGTGTGTGTGTGTGTGTGAAGGGCAATGCTGTCATGATCAAATAAATGTCTTAAAGCGATGCTGATCTCTCGAAAGGTCCAGAGCGTGTGGTGTAATGGTTAGGAACTTCTGTGTCGCACGCTAAAGACCGGAGTTCGATTCTTTGGTGCGGAGATTTATATTTTTACTGAGTATCTACGCCTGTTTGCGTGGGCGTTTAATCCCTCTCAACTTGTGATGGCTCTTTTCAAGCAAGCTTGAAGCACCTTCGCCCTTATATATAACCACCACTACTGGTGAAAGAAAGCTTGGAGAAAAATAACATTCTAAATACTGAAAACCACAAAGTTTTGTTTTTTTCAACACATGGCCGACATAGCTGAATTAATAATGGAAAATAGATACCTCTACACACAGAATTAAAGAAACATAAAATTCATTAGGACAGCAAAAAGAGCAGGTTGAGCTTTGATCTGAAAAGTCCAATTCTTAGTCAACCTAACAGTCAAACAGACTATCTGAATAATGCATGAGCTTCTTGATGTGACCCATTTTAACATTGACGTTTTGGATACCTTTTTTGCATGGTATGTACTATAAGTAATTAGATGTGTCAGTAAAGTCCGTCTGGGAACATGAGATTTCACTCCAACCTTACGATTATCCGGCTTGACAGGTTGTTGACCTCGTATCAAACTCATTTTAGAACAAAGTGACTATTCCCAGTGTCACTGGGGATAGGTACAGAAACTATTCCCAGTGACAACGGAACTCTTTTGCATTAAAAAATCAGAAGTCTTTGCATTGTAGACTCTCTTCTCACTTCAGTTCCGCCTACTTTTGTTACTGTTCTCTTACTTAGACTTAGGGCTTAGAAATTAGACTTGACCGTAGAATAGATATGGATCTAGATCTTGTACTAGAACTAGATCTAGAAGAAAGAAGAATGGGGAAGGAATTTTACCTGTCCTATGCCGTGGCCTCCAAAATCCGTATGTAGATCTAGATTTACACGTACATTTAAATTACGACTGAATAACAAGCAAGCATAGAATGATCATTCTTTTTTCTTTAAAAAAAATTCTTCCATTCACACCAGAATCTACTTTTGTTTAGTTAGATCTAGTATTTAGTATCCCATCACCATCATGCCCATGTCATGTAGATCAGTGTGGGTACAATAGATCTAATATGGGTCTGTCTGTTCTCAGTGTCACTGAGAATAGTTTCTGGGCCTATTTCCAGTGAAACTGGGAATAGTTTCTGGGCCTATCCCCAGTGTCACTGGGAATAGTTTCTGGGCCTATCCCCAGTGTCACT